AATTAAACCACAGTACAAATCGAGGCTCTGTACACGAGTCTTAATAAAAAAGGATAAATGCAAATTATTTTACTGCTCCACTTTTCAAGGAAAGAATAGAAAAATAACAATGTTTACATGTTTTATGAAATCGTGTTCAGTTGTGGTTACGTTTGGGGGTGCCTATATCAGCGCATATCAACGTGAAAATATCACTTTTATTTAAACTATTAATATATTGTAGTTTAAATTAACTAATATGGGAAATTACGATGTACATTTATTCAATGAGGGTGGGTAATTATCAAGGATAGAACTGATAACGGTATGAATAATAAACATTGACAATTACGTCATTAGCTTTACTAGCGTGTTTACTTTTTATATTCCTGCTACATGTGACCAGTTCTTTTTTTTTTCAAATGAATGTTATTTGAACCAAACAGCTGTTTCATTATGCGTACTGTGAATTTTATAGGATATTATCGTTTTATTTTAGGTCGTTTCTATTCAGACCTACTGGAAATTGTGTATAGTAAGTTAGTTGTGTTGTGGTGATAATAATTATGGAAGAGGTATGCTATGGAAGGTAGTATCGTTGACTAGGTCTATATACTTCTCAATTGACTATTACCATTGACTATTGGCATATACTAGTTTTATCTATGCTATTGGATACAGAAGTTGTATAAGATAAAGAAGTGTTGTATTAATAGTCAAAGCTATTACTCTCTCTACAGTATGCTACTTATTTCAGTGTGCGTCTGTGCGAATCGGCTGCAAATCTCACTTCAACGCTTTTCACATCGTAAAAATTGCAGAATTGCTGTTTTATTGTAAAATTATCGGATTTAAAATGCATAAAAACATATTTGGTCGCACAACATTTGTTTAAAGATGATTTTTCACATTAAAACTGCAAGAAACTTTGTCTTTTTTAAACTAGCTGATCTGAATTGTACACGGTTTTAACTGACTACTGAATTCCCGTACGTAGGACGGGCTAACACCTCGTATACTTTTTATATTAAAACAAACTAGGTGAACCCGTGCGAATTCACACGAATAATAAATTAGGATATTTGGAATGTTTGAATGAAATGTATTTGGTATTAAAACTAATCAATGACAGAAAAAATAAAGCTACACATAAAACCATGTTTTAAATAATTATAGATAAATGCAGCACCGTTAACAAAATCTCTTTAAAAACGACTTTAGTTGTATGGTTGGAACTTTCACCGTCAACGAATTGTTTCTCTGTTTCTGTAATGAAAACCCTTGCTACTCCGAAGCTTTTTGCACCACTAAGTGCAACATATTGTTGCCCATACGAGAAGAGGGGGTTTGGGAGCTTCAGTGCTACCTTGGTAAAGGTTTGTCCCTGACTTTTGTTTATCGTAATTGCATATGCAACGCAGATAGGGCAATGGTATCGTGTCAGTTTAAATGGGAAAACCGAATCAGATGGAGAAAGCCTAACTTTTGGAATTAATATTAGCTGGCCTTGGTTCGATCCTGTCAAAAATTCAAACCCAACGATATTTTCATACGGACCAGTAACTTTCATTCGGGTACCATTGATTATGCCTTTTCTTCAGTGCCGGATTTACCACTAGGCCGCGGCCGAAGCAAAAGGGGGCCGCAGAGGATTGGGAAAAACATTTTTTAGATAAACATTTTTTTTTTACCACCAGTTTGCCATGATCACACGTGACCATAATGATGTCTCCGCGGACCGAGGTGACCGATTTAGCCGTGGCCGTGGGTGAAGGTGATGTGTTCTCATGGCAGCCCACGGGAGACGTTCAAGAATTAGGCGCTTTCGCGAGTGTCGATGATGATGCCCCCATGATTGCGACCCGCGGAAGATGTTCATGATTTCACCGCGGTGGCGAGTGTCGATGATGATGTCCCCGTGATTGCGGCTCACGGGAGATATTAACGATTTCACCGCGGCTGGGGGTGTCAATGAGGATTTCCCCGTGATGGCTTCCCGAGGGGGGTGTCTACGATTTCGACACGGCCGCGGGTGACAATCATGATGTCCTCATGATCGCAGTCCACGGGAGATGTTTTTAACACGACTTTACCGTGATCGCAAGTGTCGATGTGATGTCCCCGTGATTGCTGCTTCGCGGGAGATGTGTACGATTTTGCCACGACGCGAGTGTCGATGATGATGTCCCCGTGAATGAGGCCCGTGGGAGATGTTCACGATTTCTCTGTGGTCACGGGTGACGGTGATGATGATCTCAAGGTCACAGCTCACGGGATATGATCACGATTTCGCGGAGGCCGCGAGTGTCGAGGATCATGTCCCTTTGTTGCAGCCCGCGGGGGGATGTTCATGATTTTACCGTGGTCACGGTCACGGATACCTATGATTGCTTTGACTTGGTTTAGGAGAGATGTCAACTATTTCACCCATGATCACGGGTTTCGATGATGACGTCTCTTTGATGCATAGGAGATATTCTTGTTTTTGCTGTGGTAAGCCCTGTCACACAATATATAAGTGTAAGTTGTTCAAAGGTGAATCTCCAAACGATCGCTATCAGATCGTTAAGAATAACCAAAGATGTATCTCTTGTCTCGGTCTGCATCATGTGAAGGAATGTCAATCTAAATTCTCCTGTATAACTTGTGGCAATAAGCACCACTCACTTCTGAGTGTAGGAGTTTTGCCAACGGGTATCAGGTAGAAAGGGTCTCCATCCATGAATTCCACATACTGCGGAGTTTTGCCAACGGTTGTGGGTTGAGCGAGAACGATTACACGTGACCGTGAGAGTGGCTTCCGCTAGGGGTGGACAAACCAGGCAGGATGCTGACTGTATTCAAAGTAATGGAGTTATGCACCTCTAACTGTGAAAGGAAATGTATTGAATTTTTAACCTAACCTAACCTAACCTAACCTAACCTAACCTAACCTAACCTAACCTAACCTAACCTAACCTAACCTAACCTAACCTAACCTAACCTAACCTAACCTAACCTAACCTAACCTAACCTAACCTAACCTAACCTAACCCACTGCGACAAGCGCATAACTGCCAAGCGTAGACAACCCTGACAATCGCTCTCCCTCCCTCCGTCACACTCTTTCTCCCACCACCACCGTTGGCAAATCTCCGCACCAAGAGGTGGCCGAAGGCATCCCCCCCATCTACCTGCCACCCGTTGGCAAAACTCCGGTTCCCCTCACTTCTGCATTTTAGCAATACTCAAGGTCACTCGCAGCGCACCACTGCTACAGTTCCCGTGCCCATGTCTGCACAGAGTGCTTCGACTTCGATGACTTGTTCTGTTCAGCAAAAAAATGTTCCCCATAACAGTACTGGGTCTGGGTTACCTTGAAGACCGGAAACAGATTGTATCACTGAGTGGGGCCTCCTCTAGAGTTGGTGTACTGCTGCACGGAGTGCCGCAGGGATCGGTCCTTGGCCCATTACTGTTCACAGTCATGATCAATGACTTGTCGCTAAACGGCCACACACTGCTGTTTGCAGATGATACCACCTTGTTCTCTCGAGGCCGAGATCTGCCAGAACTCAAAGCGGAGTCCGAACAACTGCTGACGCGAGCCAAGGAATGGTTTATCTCTAACAAACTGAAGATAAATGAGGACAAGACGCAATCGCTGATATGCACTCTCAAAACTAGAGAGGAGGAAGATCAAGATGAACCTGTGAAGCTACTTGGTTTTTGGATTGACTCTAAGTGCAGCTGGAGTTACCATATTGAAAAAGTCTGCGTTAAGCTCTCCAGAGTCTTGTACCTATTTAGGAAACTTAGGTCAATCATTACGCAGCCTTACTTAAAGACTGTGTATCATTCCCTCTTCCACAGCCATATAATGTATGGACTGGTATTGTGGGGACACGCTCCTGCAGCCCATGATGTACTGCTGCTCCAAAAAAAGGCACTCAGAATTATAACATCCTCGGAATACACTGAGCATTGCCGGCCTATTTTCAAAGATCAGCAGATACTTACCATCTACAGTCAATACATTTATGACATACTTATCCTCCTTAAAGAACGTGAAGGAGAATATTCTAAAAGGGAATATCAGCACAGCTACAACACAAGAAGAGCACAAGACCTGGATATGCCACGCTGTCGCTTGAGTCGCACTCTAAAAAGTTATCCCCGCTCTGCAATAAAGGTTTTCAATACTCTGCCAGTTCGAGTGCGAAATTTGGAACTGCCGAAATTTAAAAAGGTTGTTCATGGAGCCCTAGTGGATAGGCCACTGTATTCGCTGGGTGAACTCGTTGAGGAACCACTCTTTAGATCCTAGCTAAAATATATCCGCCATGCCACAGTAAAATGTAAATAATGTATATATTGTAAATAGTGTAAATATATGCTTTTTATTGACAAACTCATATGAGTGACGCAATCTATCCGACATTGTCGGTCAAGGATGAAGACCTCAAGTATTTCAAGTATTTCAAGTACTGTCCTTCTCAGCACGGCGTTAGTAAAACTCACCGCTGCTAATGGCCATTCCTTTGTATTCCAAACATTACTAGATTCTGGTAGTATGTCCGACTTTATTTCTGAGAGAGCTGCTCAACTCTTGGGTACTCGACGCCACCCTTCTAATATCTCTTTAACGGGGCTAGCTCAGTCTCTCACTCAAACCAAAGGCTCACTTAGTGTTAATGTTGAGTCACTTTCAGGTCACTTAGTTGTCCAAAAACACTGTTTTCATATTTTAGAAAAAATCTCTATCGATTTACCGAGTGTGGAACTCACGCCGGAAGTACTACAGAAGGTGAAACCTTTCGTTCTCGCAGACCCAACATTCCATAAGCCGGGTCCCATTGACGTCCTTATAGGATGTGCATTATTTCCTCAAGTGCTAAAAAATGAATGTCACTCGTTAGGCGATCACATGCCTTATGCTCTTGGTACCATTTTTGGTTACGTCATCGCTGGAACAGCTCCGTGTTCTTCTCCTTCTCCGTGAGCCTCTCATCTCTCTATCTCTCTCCTCTCCACTAGCGATCATGATCTCCACTCATCCCTGCAGCGCTTCTGGACCTTGGAAGAACCCCCAATTTGTACAAAGAAGACTCAGGAAGAAGAACTTTGCGATCTCCACTTTAGGTCGACCCATTCGAGGGATTCGACAGGACGCTATATCGTCCGCCTTCCTTTTAAAGAAAATCATACTCCCCTCGGGACATCCAGACCTCAGGCTGAACGCCGTCTCTATTCTCTTGAGCAGAAGTTCAATAGCCAACAACATTTCCTCTACTCTCTATCATGATTTTATGGATGAATATCTCTCTCTCGGTCACATGACCAAACTTGAAACTGTTGATTCAACCTCTCATCACTACTATCTCCCCCATCACGGAGTTTTGAAAGAAAGTAGTAGCTCCACAAAGCTTCGAACTGTGTTCGATGCTAGTAGTAAGACCAGCACTGGCGTGTCTCTAAATGACGTCTTACTTACAGGTCCCAAGCTCCAGACGAACATTATGCTCCATTTCAGGTGTTATAACATTGTTTTCTCTTGTGACATTCGTCAGATGTATCGTCAAATATTAGTGCACCCAGACGATCAAAAATATCAACTAATCTTGTGGCGCAATAACTCTTCACAGGAGCTTTCTACCTATCAGCTGGCTACTGTAACATATGGGGTCAACAGCAGTCCCTATCTCGCTATCAGAACGCTTCATCAACTTGCTGAAGATGAGGGTGAGGCGTTTCCTGCTGCTGCTCAGGTTATAACCTCCAACACCTATGTTGATGACATAATCACCGGTGCTGACACGGTTAAAGATGCTCTACAACTTCAAGGCCAGCTAATTAGTCTTCTGTCCCGTGGTGGATTTGAACTCCGGAAATGGTCATCCAACGCTAAGGAACTCCTTCAAACTCTGCCTCAAGAACACCTAGAATTACCAGTATTTCTGGAACTTGTCAACGAACCTCTGTTTTCAATATTAGGACTACATTGGTCACCTGTCTCTGATTGCTTCACTTATAATTTAAATTTCTCTGATGCAGTCAATGTGACCCCTACAAAACGCCGAGTGCTCAGCTTAATTGCCAAAATCTATGATCCTTGTGGTTTTGTCGCTCCATGTATCATGGCCGCAAAGTGTTTTATGCAACTTTTGTGGACAACAGGACTTGATTGGGATGAACAGCTCCCCCCTGACTTGTCTGATAAGTGGAATACCTTCCTCTCTCATGTAAATCACGTCTCTAAGATCAAGGTTCCACGATCTCTTATGCTCAGCTCCTCAAAGAAAGTCGAAGTACACGGGTTCTCAGATGCTTCGGAGAGCGGATATGCAGCGGTGGTGTACTTCCGCATTCTAATGTCAAACGACGAAGTGATAGTTCACCAAGTCATGGCAAAAACTAGAGTAGCCCCCCTCAAAAGAGCGACATTACCTCGCCTCGAACTCTGTGGTGCTCACCTCTTGGCACAGTTGATAGCACATGTCTGCAACGTTTTTAAAGACCACATTTCCTCTCCTTCAATTTACTTGTGGTGTGATTCCACTATCGTCCTCACGTGGTTACAAACACCCTCTTATCGGCTCAAAACCTACGTAGCAAACCGAGTCGCCCAGACTCAGGAGCTCATCCCTTCGCATTGCTGGAGACACATACAGGGGAGTGAAAATCCAGCTGACTGCGCCTCTCGCGGCATTCTTGCCTCTGATCTCGTAGATCACCCTCTTTGGTGGAAAGGACCCTCTTGGCTTCATTTGGATGAAGATGCATGGCCTAACCCCAAATTTTCTCCTATGGATTTGTCTTCCACGGATGAGGAGAAACATACCCCCCTGACCGTACTAACAGCTGTGAAGCAAGAAGAGTGGAATTTACTCACCCAATTTTCTTCATGGACACGTCTTCAAGCTGTCTTGGCCTACGTACAACGGTTCATACACAATGTCCGCCACGCTGACAAGCGTGTAGGACCCCTCTCATCTGACGAACTGAAGTCAGCCTCCACCACACTCTTCAAGCTAGTCCATAACTATCCAGTTTTCAAGAAGACATCCTCGCCTTGGAAAAGAAGAAAGAAGTATCTTCACGTCTAAGACGTCTCTCACCCTGGCTCGATTCCAATGGTCTCCTGCGCGTTGGAGGACGACTAACAGCGTCAACACTAAAACATGACTCTCGACATCCTGTCATATTGCCTAAAGGACATCACGTGGTAGACCTTCTCATCGATCATTATCACATCAGACATCTCCATGCCGGAGCACAACTCACACAGGCGCTACTCACTCGAAGTGTCTGGATTTTGTCTGCTAGAAGTGCAATACGTTCTAGGATCTTCAAATGTTTGAGATGTTTTAGGCTAAGGCCAAGAAATTGCCCCCCTCTCATGGGAAACCTTCCAAGTGCTCGTGTGACTGCCACGAGACCCTTTCTCAAAACAGGGATGGATTATGGTGGACCATTCACTGTGAAACTTCACAACCTTCGCTCGATTCGGCACATAAAGGTGTACAAATGTATCTTTGTTTGCTTTGCCACAAAGGCCGTCCACGTCGAGGTAGTAACAGACCTCTCATCTGATGCGTTCATTGCTGCCCTAACCAGATTCGTCTCCCGACGCGGACTTTGTTCAGACCTCTACAGCGACTGCGCCACAAATTTTGTTGGGGCAGATAACGCTCTAAGAAAACTTGTCAAGTCACCAAATCAGACTCAAATTCAAGTCTTTGCCTCTCAAAATGGTATAAAATTCCATTTCAACCCTCCTGCTGCTCCCCACCAAGGTGGTTTGTGGGAGAGCGCCATCAAAGGCATCAAGTATCACCTCCGGAGAGTGATAGGTGATCAGGTTCTCACTCTCCCAGAATTTATCACCGTAGCAACTCAAGCGGAAGCCATGATGAATTCTCGGCCTCTAACACAATGATCCCTCGGATCTCTCTTCTCTCACACCAGGCCATTTTCTGATAGGCGCCCCCCTAGCTGCTGTACCTGAAGCCGATCTCAGTGATGCTCCTCAGAATAGACTCAAACACTGGCACCTCGTCCAATCATTAAGCCAAAGCATCTGGAAGAGATGGCATCTTGAATATTTGCACACCCTTCAGCAGAGAGAGAAGTGGCATTACCCAACTAAAAACCTTAAGGTCGGTGATCTGGTCCTTATTCATCAGCCGACACCCCCTCTCACTTGGCCCCTTGCTCGGATCACAGAGGTATTCCCAGGAAAGGACAATGTTGTTCGGGTGGTACATCTTCAAACGGCCAACGGACAACTCACACGGCCTGTTCACAAGGTCTTCCCTCTACCATGCAATGAAGACTAAGTCCAAGAAACCTACTCTATGTACATATTAGATTTAAGTGTGGTTTACGTTTGCTCTTGTGTTTTTTAATTGTCTGTTGAAGCTGTAATGCTTCAAGGGGGCCGGAATGTTCGGTATTCATATTTTTAGAGTATTTCGAAATTAATCATTATGTTAATTAAGTCACTGGTTAATTAATCATGCTAATGTGTATATGAATCACCACATTTATTGTAATATTATTTAGTCTCAGTAACAATTTATTGTAAATAGACTCCCGCTTTCAATATTCAAATGAGATTGCTAAGCCCGCTCGAATTTCCCGCCACAGTAAGGCCTATTTTCCTGTACTACATACCCATGAATCACCTGACACCGTGTTTGCTTCAATAGCATTTCCTATTGGCCATCAAATTCCTAGACCCCTCTAAACCGCAATTGCATTTTTCAAAGTGAAGCCGGTGATTGGCGTCTGTCTGCCCACGGTCGGCGTCCATAACTCACGGTGTATTCCGTTTCTCGTATCTCGGGACATTAATTGCCCATTTTTACCTCTCTTTAACGTATTTTTAGGCTATAGATTACTTATATCTGGCCTCTCTCTCCTCTATAGTACATTTAACTATATATACATTTTAATTTCCCCCTTTTGTTTGTGATTAAATTACTTAAATTGTGATCTAGTGCTTTCAGACTCTTCAAACCTCAAGACAGTGTGTGCGCGTCCGTGTATTACTTCTAGACTTTTCGTACGTTTTCACCGTGACTTCCGCGTATTAGTGAGCTCTTTGTGATTATGAACTTGGGTGCGTTGCGTTCTCCAAAATTCTACAAAACAGAAGCACTCGGTCTAAGGACTCCGCCATCCGCCATCGCTCCACCATAGACGACGCCGCTGCCATACTCTCCACCTTTGGATAATTGGACTCAAGGTACAACCTTAAAGTTTTGTGTGTGTTTTAATTAGACTCTAAAACTAATCTCATTTGCCTCTCACAAGACATTTTATTCCATCTCGGGACCTCAGTGCCCTTCAAATTGCAGATTCGCCATTTTTCTCTAATTTAATTATTTTTCTCTTGAACTATTAATTAGTTCTGGTCCTTCGAGTTATTAATTATTTTCATTTCACCCATTACGCCCCCAACAATAACTTTCATAACTAAAATTACTCTTCTCCTTCAAATAAACCTTCCTCATCTTGCCCCCTAGTAAGTAATTACTTCCTTAGAAAATCTTTCATTTAATGATAATAATAAGTTGTATGAGAAAAAGTATGTCTTTGAGATTTTCTTGCGTAAAACAAGCAAAAATTACATCACGGTTCGTGAAAAACACAGAAATCACAAAAACCCCGTCTTGCCCCACCTTCCCATACCACAAAGCATTTGTTGGGCATATGCTAGAGTTTGACTACGTTTCTCCCGTACCAAAAGGCGACACAATGTCAACACACCAACACACGTACAGTAGTTGAATGTAGTGTGGCGTAGTACTACAAAGTAGTATGCTAGAGTTCGACTACGTTTCTCCCGTACCAAAAGGCGACACAATGTCAACACACCAACATACGTACAGTAGTTGAATGCAGTATGGCGTAGTACTACAAAGCAGTATGCTAGAGTTCGACTATGTTTCTCCCGTACCAAAATGCGACACAATGCCAACACACCAACATACGTACAGTAGTTGAATGTAGTGTGGCGTAGTACTACAAAGCAGTATGCCAGAGGTCGACTATGTTTCTCCCGTACCAAAAGGCGACACAATGCCAACACACCAACATACGTACAGTAGTTCAATGTAGTGTGGCGTAGTACTACAAAGCAGTATGCTAGAGGTCGACTATGTTTCTCCCGTACCAAAATGCGACACAATGCCAACACACCAACATACGTACAGTAGTTCAATGTAGTGTGGCGTAGTACTACAAAGCAGTATGCTAGAGGTCGACTATGTTTCTCTCGTACCAAAAGGCGACACAATGTCAACACACCAACACACGTACAGTAGTTGAATGTAGTGTGGCGTAGTACTACAAAGTACTGTAGTATGCTAGAGTTCGTCTACGTTTACGTTTCTCCCGTACCAAAAGGCGATTAAGTCAGCACGCACCAACACACGTAGGTGTATCGTCGTATTTAGCGTGGTGTAGTACAAAAACAAAGCATTTTTGTTGAAGCTATATCAATTTTCCAAATGATTTGCCTACAAGACACCAACTTTAATATGCTACTTTCCCCTTATAAGGTTTATTTTCTAGACTCCGGTCCCGCGTGGGTTCAAATATCACCAATCACCAATGGCTTGGCAGTGTCATAACGCCACACACGACTCTTAGTAATGCACAGCCACAAAACGGCTATGATATGGAAAAATAAATTCTAAATAGTTGAGTATTTCTGGTTTTCAAATCTCAAAGTTGTGGCGGCAAGTTGAGTGTCCTGCGGCGACCCGGCGACCGGCGAGTCGAGGCGATTCGCGCGCGCGCGCGCGCGTGTGTGCGTGTGCGTGTATGTGTGTGTGTGTTTACGAGAGTGGGGCGGCCGGGCATTGGCGGCCAAGCAAAACATAACCTCAACTTCTGTGAGGGGAGTTGGACGTGTTACATAACTGTTAAATGCACTTTATTATGTCTGTGATATATCAGTTACTTTCGTTCATTTAAACTGTTGGAAACTCTAAAGGTAAGATACAATTTTAATTTATTTCTTACCTAGAATAAGTTTGATTTCTTTTAAATTATTTAAACAAGCGGTTCATGTAAGAGCCTCAACCAACAAGCAACTTGTTGAGTGTTGTTTGATGTTGTCATAACACTAGGCAACAGGCATATTCGAACAGCTGAACTAAAACTAGCGATCTGCTTCTGCATTGTGACTTTTGACTTTACGTAGTGGAATATTAAACACGACTACCCAAACATTTAAATAGTGTAGAAACAGCATTCTCACTAGTGCGCCAAATAAATACATAACGATTCATTTGAAGTTGTAATAAATGGTATTATGTAACAAAAACCAAATTTCCCACTTATATCACAAGAAAATATATAATTAATTAAGGAATCAAATTATTTTTAAATTGTTGTAAAGTACATAATGGTGTAAATTAGTATTTTTCCACATCTGGTGATTATATAGGTATATGTTCACTTTTCAGTCTACAAAATAACGTAGCATACAGGGAATACCATGCCATACAAAGCACCGGTACCACCTATAACTGTAATAATATTGATCTCATCTTCAATGTAGTGTTGCCAAACAAATAACTAGAAACAACGTAAAAAACGATTTTATAACATTTATTGCTAAACAAAGACATTTTACGGATCCGATTCTTATGTAACAGGCACGGATGGTGAATTTAAAATGTCAACGTTTGTCTCATATCCTGTAGGCGTACTTGCTCTATGTGACAATTTTATAATTAATCTGGTGTTGATCACTTAAATTTAACATCAATGTCATGCACTCACACTTTTTTTTTACTTTATTTAATTTACAATATGTTCAAGTTGAACAATAAGCAAATGATATAAATAGTAATACAAAAATAACTTGATGAACATGAGCTAGTGATTGACCACCGTCAACACTAGCTAACAAAGAGAATTGTGATAACACTTAGCCGAATCTGAATGGTAGGTCCAATATCGTATGTCGCTTCAGTCTGTAAATGGTGTTGTGATTGTCCAATAAATTAAGTGCAAGATGATTTGAATGATTTTCCAATTTTATAATGTATTTTTCACTAGATTTTGTAATTTCTTCTTTTACTGTTCGAATTTGAAGATCATTGTATGATAACAATTTATAAACCCTTATGTTTTCTGACAAAACCCATTTATTTCACGTTCGGAATATAAGCAGTTCATGATTTAATCTACCATCAAAGACAAGGGAATTCCTGTCATATTATAAGAAACAATTACAGTACTTATTTTTAGAAAAGTGAGTTTTCCTTTATACTTTGCTTATCTTTTTTAAAGCTGTATTTATTCAAGGCTGTTCACAATCCGATATTTTATTAAATACTGCCAGGGTACCATGCATTGGTTTTCTACCTATGTGATTTACTTTTTACGCTATTACATAATTGTATAATTTCTGCAAATACAGTAGTAATAATTCCATTCGTGTTGGCTCTACGTAGTTTTAAATGTCTACAGTTGTCCTACTAATTTATTTATCTAATTTTAATTGCTTGTATTTACTATAAAATAGTGTTGGCCTATATTCTGTGATGTGCATTATTTTGCTTGAACCCGAACCTACGTTTCCACACGGAACAATCTGAATAGCACGAGGAGTAATTGAATAAACCAATAATTAACTCATAATATCCACAGTTTCATTTGTATCAACCAGCCCTCAGTTATTAAATCCCAAATTTACTAAAAGTTTTTGACATCCACGGGGAAAGAACTTGTAGAGGATTTTAAAGCCACTGTTTTAGACGATGTATTGCAAATCTCGTCCAATTTTTACTTTAATACTTTTATTTGAAATGGCGACCATTAAGTAGACATTTTAAGACAAGTATAAATGGAGATGAGTGGCGCGATCTTGTAGTCTTGTTAGTGACTAAGGCCGACATATTCCTTAGACACAGCTGCTAATTAATAGCCCATACAGCTAACAGCAACCAAAGGGACCTACAGTTTAAAGTGGAATCCGAACCACATTTTTGCCTTAGTATTAACGAATTGGTATAATTATCAGGATAGTAATGCGTATAGTTTTAGTACTCACTAGTGTGGACGTTAATCCACACCAGGGAGTATCGCATCCACAGTGCAAGCCTATAAATATGTATCCACAATTGGTGACCTCCTATAGTAGTTGGATTACAGGACAACGCCATTGTCCCAGTCAATGCATATACATACTTGACATGGGGTAAGGATTAAGGAACATAAAGCAGGTAGTCTCCGTCCTGTAGTTGCACAGAAATGGCATAGCTAGACTAGGGTGCGTGACTCCTGCATTTATGCGCATATGCGTTTGAGAATTCATTGAAAATGTTTCTATAAATGTCACTTACGCAATTAATATGTACTAAATTGTGGCAACAAGAAACTGCAGATACCAAGATCACAAAGTAATTGCGGCTATATTGTACATATAACAGTTAATGTAATGTAAATATTATGTATATAATTTTATAGGATATGTATATATATATTTATAGGATAAGACAGGTAACAAGGCCGAAACGCTGCTTTTTACCTTTCCAGAATTGGTTTGTGTTTTAAGATAAACCCTTTTTTTATGTGAAAATTGGCTGTGAGCAGTTGCTGAGAATGAGTCAATCATTCTAGAGGAGAATATTTACATCACACTCTATATTTTATAGTTGTTTACACTCTAAGGTTCTACCATTGACTAATAGTGCACAGTGCATACTGTAGATTAATTGTCAATATGGTTCTGCACAGTGTTTGAAAACGTTTTTATAGTTTAGTTGTCTCAGCTCAGCCAACAGCTCTGATTTACAATGTTGATCTTAATAAAACTAGCCAACCCGAGCGAAGCATTCGCGATACATCCTACTCAAATCCCACTTAATTCAAATAGCTACAATACACACTTTAAATCTGCGTAGTTAGCACATCGTTGATTTAGGTACGGGTCCTTACATCAGAATAGATGTGGGTTTATGTTGTAGATAGTTAACATGCAATGCAAAGGAGATCAAGATAGCACTAGTTGGCAGTAGGGGATTAACTCACCACCCTACGTTCGGAGAATTTGGACGAGATAGCACTTGGCACTTGGACGAGATGGCACGACACGTTTTAAGACGAGTTCCGTGGCTTTTGCGCTCGCCTTCAACAATAAACACACACACGGACAGACACGAGAGTTGCAGAGGAGGCATACAGTACTGCAGAGAAGACCATAGATAGTCTGTGTTGAAATTAGATCGGTTAACAAAATTTACCCATAACCTAGTACTTTGAAGTTTCCTCGCCGAATGATTAGTTAAGGATTAAGAAATAAACATAATCATGAGATACAGTGTGCTATCGTCATGGCTTTATGTCTGACACACTCAACAGAGACTCACGAAACTTAAGATTAAAATCGAGCTTGTTTGACTTTAGTACTTATTTGTAGGTACTTATATGTAGGTACTTTTTTGATAGATCAACCCAGATGCATTAATAATGCATTACGTAGCAAACATTATATTGTTGTTTTCTTACGTTGCCATGCTTACGAGTATGAAGTAAATTACCTCCTGCTTAATAAACTGCATAATCAGAATCTACTGACTTAGCTGGATTATTTTTTCTAAGAAGATATTCAGTTGATATTACAGTTTTGGCACTTTTCTAGAACAGTTTTCGGTGAAATTGAATGTGAGTGTTATTACGACGAGGGACGGTAATTCATATACATTTTAAACAGACTTCCTCACAGCTTTACCGTGCTTATCGATCAACTGAAAAATTGTTTTATTTATTTTAGGGTATTTTATATACGAATATTTTTATTTCTGTCAGGTTTATACAAAGGACGGTTTGATTGTTTACTGTTTATTATTTTTCAATTCAACCATCAATAATAACATTAATTGTTTTGACAATAATAAAACGTCTTGTGTAAAACTATTAGTAGTTGTTTTTTGTCATATTAAACCCGAAGAGATGGCCTTCAAGCACCTGTTGTAAAATGTACGCTCAAGTTTTCAAGTAGATATTTCAGCATATATCGTTGATGAAAAATACACCACATCTAAATTTAGCTGGTTTTTAGCGGAGCGAGCGAAGCTCTTATACAACACTCCTGCTTTTGTTTTCCACGTACTTCTCCTGAACGGCTGAAGTGATCCCATCGAAGTATGAGTGATCCACATGAAATTTACCAAAGTCTTAGGTCATAGTAACCAACTATGGGAAGGTATGAATCTGAAATAGCACAAATTGAACTAAAATACTTTTATCTACGTGAATTTAAATATTTAGAAATTTAACATTGACCTTATGAGTTGCCATGGCATTATTTGCAAGATAAATAAAAAGTTAAACAAACGACCCGTAACAACGACTCATCTAAACTAACACATAAAAAAATACAGAACAAACGGGAAGAACAGTAATTGAATTAATATAGTCATGAGCATAATTTATTACAAAATGAATAATTAATTAGGATCCCAGGAATTAGACTTATGCACCATTGACTAAAGATACCCCAAATAGACATTCCATTAATGTGAACCAAAATTGACTATGGATACTGCAAGTAGACATTCCATTTACGTGAACCAGACATACCATTGACTTTGGATACTGCAAATAGACTTTCTATAAAGGGGACCATTTATCCAAAATTTGAAAATTTGTGAAAATCTTTTGTATTAAATTTTTTGTTGCTTGGTTACTTTAGTACGGTATTAAAACAGTTTTTCTCAAAAATATAGCATGCAAATATGTTTTACGTGTATTACTACATTTAGTACGAAGGGCGCACACCCACCACTCTATACCATGATTTAGCACTCAAATACATAATTATACTGTACTACACTGTTATTATTGTAAGAAGTTTGTTTTTTGTTTCCAGCATTAATATATTAGTTAAATTAATATACGGTAATTAATTTAAACAAAACCGTCAACATTGCAATTTTGAACCTGCGAACTTGCGAGCGTATCCGCAGTTCGAATTCCGAA